AACAATGGCTCAACTTTTTCCGGATAGACCTTATATATATTCAAATGGGTGATGTATGAGATGATTTTAGAAAGTTCGTAAATGTAAGTTTTTAAATTTATTTAAATTTTTTTTAAATTGATGAGAGAGCAAGAGCGAGAGAAACATCGATTTGTTGTCCACTTATTTATGCATTCATTGGTTGCTTCTTGTATGTGCCCTGATCAGAGATTGAACCTGTAACCTTGACATATTGGGACGATGCTCTAACCAACTGAGCTACATTTCTCAGCCAGAACCGTACATTTCTAATTTTAATATATATATATTTATTTTATTTTTTATTATTTTTTAAGATTTTATTTATTTATTTTTAGAGAGGGGCAGCGAGAGAGAAAGAACGAGAAGCACCAGTGTGTGGTTGCCTCTTGCATGCCCTCTACTGGGGACCTGGCCTGCAAGCCAGTCATGTGCCCTGACTGGGAATTGAACCTGTGATCCCTTGGTTCACAAGCCAGTGCTCAATCCACTGAGCCACACCAGCCAGAGTTATATATATTTATTTTAATATATGTTACAAATAATACAGCTAGCACATCAAACCTGTGACTGCATATATGTTGTTCAGGGTTCATTCCTTCATTCGCTCCACATTTACTGAGGTTTTACCATGAGCCAAGCAGTCTTCTAGATGCTGAGGATATAGCAGTAAATAAAATAAAGTCCCTGCTCTCATAAATTTATGTTTTAGTGGGGAATAATAAAAACTGAACCAAACAAATAAATGTATTAAACAAACATATGTTCAACAGTAAAAAGTAGAACAAAGAAAAGAGTTCAGCGGGCCATAGAAATGACAGGGTAGGGTGGGTACTGGTGTCGATGGTTTGCTCAGGGAAGACCTCTTAGATTACGTGACATTTGAGCAGAGACCTGAATGAAATGATAATGTATTTCTGCAGCAAGAATGTTCTAGGCAGAGGGAACACCAAACGCAAAGTCCCTGAGGTGGGAACATGTATGGTACCATCAGGTACCTTGTTCAAAGTTCCAGGGCTGCAGACAGGCCCATGAAGGATGGTGCTTTTTAAAATTAAGATATAATTCAAATAGTATAATATTCATCCTTTAAAAATATTTTTCATTTTATAATTCAGTGGTTTTTAGTATATACACAAAGTTGTATCTTTTTTTAAAGTTATGATTTGGTCTGGTTCTGGCCAAGATGGAGTAACAAGGACCAGATTTACCTTCTCACCTGAAACAACCAAAAAAAAACCAGACAAAAATATGTGAAACAATGGTTTTCAAGACACTGAACTTCAGGCAACAAAGGATGGTGACCCCTGAAAGATGAGATATAAAAAAGGGGAGGGTACCTATAAATGCCCAGATTACTGTCTGGAGAGAATTTCCACACAATGGTCCAGGGAGGGAAAATGCAGAGTCAAAGAATGTCATTTTGCAATAATAAAAGAGTAGTTCATCAAGAGGATGTTATCAGTCTCAAACATTCATGTACTTAATAATAGTGTCCAAATACCTGCAGCAAAAAGTGATAGGAAAAAAAATAGGCAAATTCACAATAATATTCTGAAATTCAACACCTTTCGCTCTCAGTAACTGACAGCACAACTAGACAGAAAATCACGATATAGAAGGCTTTGACTACAGTATCAACTAACTTGATCTAATTGACATTGATTGAATACTTCATCCAATAACAGCAGAAAACATGTTCTTTTCATGTGCATGTAGAACATTTACCAAGACAGACCAAATCCTGGGCTATAAAACAAGCCTCAATGACTTTTAAAGAATTCAAATACTATACTGTATGTTCTCTGATACAATAAAATAAAAACAGAAATGAATGACAGAAAGATCTCTGGAAATTTCCTAAATGTTTGAGAACTAAATAATACGTTTCTAAATAACCAATGGGTCAAAGACGAAATCAAAGGGAAAATTAGAAAGTATTTTAAATTGAATGAAAATAAAAACATAACTTATTACATTTTGGGATGCAGCTAAATGACCAGTTAGGGGAGGTTTACAGCAGCAAATGAATACCTAGGAAAAAAACAAATGTTCCGATCAATGACGTCAGTTTCTACTTTAAAAAGGTAGGTAAAAAGAGTAAATTAAATCCAGAGTAGGCAGACAAAAAATGGAAATAAAGATGAGAGTGGAAATCAGTGGAGCCAAATGGGAAAAATCAACGGACTCAAAAGTTGGTTCTTTGAAAAAATCAAATAATATTGATAAATCTCTAGTCAGCAGGATCAGGAAAAAAAGAAAAGACACTAATTATCAGTGTTAGGAATGAGAGCAGTAGCATCAATACAGATTCTACAGATATTAAAAGGACAATAAGGGAATATTATGGCCCTGGCCGGGTGGCTTAGTTGGTTGATACATCATCCCACTGTAAAAAGTTTGCCGGTTTGATCCCCGGTCAGGGCACACACCTAGGTTGTGGGCTCAGACCCCAGTTGAGGCGTAAATGGGAGGCAACCAATTGATACTTCTCTCTCTCCATTCCTCTCTTTAAAATCAATAAACATATCCTGGGGTGAAGATTTAAAAAGAGAGAGAGCATTATGAACAACTTTATGCCAATACATTTGATAATTTTGATGAACTAAAACAAAATTTTGAGACACACTATGGAATTTCACTGAAAAAGATAGATCACCTGAATACCCCTGTATCTATTAAAGAAATTGAGCTTGTAGTTTAAATTCTTCCTAAAAAGAAAACCTCAGACCCAGATGTCCTCTTAGGTAAATACTAAACATTTAAGAAGAAAATAATACTAATTTTGTTTAGACTCTTGTAGAAAACTGAAGGGGGCATGCTGCCCCAGGCATTCAATAAAGCCACCATTACAAGAAAACTACAGACCATTCAATAAAGCCACCATTACAAGAAAACTACAGACCAATATCTCTCAAGAATATACACACAAAAGTTCTAACCAAAATTTTAGCAAATCAAAGCCAAGAACATATAAAAACACAATTCACCATGACAAAATAAAGTTTATCCCAGGGATGCAATGTTCATTTCACATATTAACTTACTAAAAAAGAAATATCATATAATTATCTCAGTAGACAGAGAAAAAGCACTTGACAAAATCTAACGCCTACTCCTGATAAAAACTCAGCAAACTAGGAATAAAAAGCAACTTTCTCAACATCATAAAGGGCATCTATAAAAAAAGCCTACAGCTAACATCATAATGCGGAGAGTGAAAGCTTTCTAAGATCAAGAACAAGACAAATATGTCTTTAGTCAGTGAAATAAGGCAAGAAAAAAAGAGAAATAAACCATCCAGACTAGAAAGAAGTAAAACTATCTTTACTCACAGACATGATCATCTATGCAGAAAATCCAATGGGACTTACAAAAAAGCTAGAATAAATGAGTTAAGCCAGGTTGCAGGTTATAAGATTAATATACTAAATCCTATAGTATTTCTAAATACTAGCAACAAAAAATTCAAAACTGAAATAAAAACCAATATCATTTATAACACAGATGTAGGTATAACTCTGACAAAATATGTGAAGGATCTATGCACTCAAAACCACAAAACAATTGGTGAGAGAATTAGAGAAGACTTAAATAAATGGAGAGAGATTCTGTGTTCATGGGCAGGAAGCTCAACATTGTTAAGACGTCAATTCTCCCAAATCTATAGATTCAACACAATCCCCATCAAAATCTAGAATTTTAGAATTTAACTGATTCTAAAATTCATATGGAAATACAAAGGACCTAGGCTGGCCAAAACAACTTTGAAAAAGAACAAAGTTGAAGATTTAACAGTACCTGATTCCTGGACTCATTATAAATTCTACAGTTATCAAGACAGTATGGTATTAGTGTTAAAATGGACATACAGATCAAAGAAATGGAATACATGGACAAACAATTTTCATCACAGATACAAAGTCAGGAAAGGACAATCTTTTCCACAAATAGTGCTGGAACAATTGCATATTCACATACCAAAAAGTGAACTTTGTTCCGTACCTCATACCATATAAAATATTAACTCAGGGTAGATGATAAACCTAAAACCATTAAGTTTCTAGAAGAAAATGTAGGGAAAAACTTTTGTGACCATGGCTTAGGTGACAATTTCTTAGACACAACAGCTAAAGCATGATCCATAAAAGAACAAACTGATAAAGGGGACATAATGAATATTAAAAATCTGGTTTTTGACAGACACTGCTAAGAATGAAAAACCAGCCACAGGCTAAGAGAAAATATTTGCAGATCACATATCTGACAGAGGACTTGTATCCCAGTGGTTTTCAAAGCTTCCCCCCTAGAAGACATTCTAGGATTAATGGCTCTTTGTTTAAGAGAGAGACTCAGAGTATAGAGTAATAATCATGAAGAATCTAGAGTAGCAGCTCTCTAACTTCAGCATTACCTGGACGGCTTATTAAGACACAGATTGCGCACCCTCACCCTCAGAATTTCGGAATCAGTAGGACTCAAGGGTTTTCATCTCTGGTAAGTTCTCTGGCTGCTGATGCTGCTGGCCTGGCTGCCACACTCTGAGAACTGCAAATCTAGACCAATTTAGCCTCAACTAGAAATACAACGTCAGATGCCAGTTTTTTCCCCCACCAAGGGACATTACCAAATAAACTATGATTATTAAGAAATTTATCCTCCCCGCCTTTTGTTTATTAGCTAGAGATATCTGTGGATATTAATCAGAGCTTCTGATCCGCAAGAACTAACAAATATGACATCACCGCACTGGCATGATTCTAGCCCTGCCTCTTTGTTGAATACACATTTTGGTTTCCACAAAGCTGTTCAGAGCTCACCCTGGAAACCATACATGGCCTTGTACCAACTGTCTCATAATACCAATTTTTTCCTAATGGCAACATGCAGAAAACCATCATGCCCCACTGAACCCTGTAAACCTTCCCGACCCTGGGCATGGAACGCCTCAGCCCCCTGAGGGGCTGCCGGCCAGGTCTCACCGTCCAAGATGGCCCATTGATTGTCAATCTCTGTGTGTTTCAGGTAGGAGTCTTCGATGGTGGGGTCGTAGTCAGGCACAAAGATCTTCTGGAAAAACTGGATGGTGAGGGCACTCTTGCCCACACCCCCATCCCCCACCACCACCAGCTTGTACGTGGGGAGGTTGTCACTGGGGACAGCGCTGGTTGCCATGTTTCTGGTGGATCAGACCTGGGGAGGCAAGACACATGGAATGAGGCAGGGACCTTTTCCTGTCTGACCTAGGGGAAAACATCCATAGCTTTTCTTGCCTTTTTATAGAGGAATAACCACTCCCAATTACAGAAAGTTCTGAAAATATAAAACTGCTACAGAAAATTTAAATGTCACCCCTGGTCCCACCACCCAGAGTCAATCACTGTTAAAATGATTTATTCAATCATTTGCTGAATGCCAGCTTTGTGTCAGGCTTGGTCTTGGGGCCAGTAGTACATAGTACTACTAGATGTCATGTGGTCTTTAATACGTATAGCCAAAAGCCATGTCAAAGAAGCTTTCCCACCACTAAGTGTCGCACTGTACCTGTACAGATAAACGTGAGGGTGTTAGTCTGAGCAGGGACATCACAGAGGTTCACCTTTCACATCAACTCTGATCTATGAGTCTGCGGTGCTAAGAAGGATTTGAAGCTTCCTTTGCTTAAAGGGAAAGAAGGGCCCGATAGCTTAGCACACTTGAGCTCAAGGTCTTAGGGGCCCCTTGCAAATCTCAGAATTCTGTGATCCTGGCTCTTCTCCCTCTGTCTTCTTGACTTTTATGATGCACAAAGGCATGCTAGAATCTTGTGGCATCTGGTTACCGCTGTTCCGGTTGGGGAGGCGGAAGGGAAGAGCAGGGCTCAGCTTTGTTTTAATGACATGGAGCCCAGCTAAGGCAGTGGTTCTCATGCAGGAGCAAGTCTCCTCTCCACTCCAGGATATTCACAATGTGTGGAGATACTTTTGGTTGTGAAAGCCAAGTGGGTGTTACTGGCATCTAGTCAGCAGAGGTCAGAAATGCTGCTAAATATCCTAGAATGCACAGGGCAGACCCTCATGACAAAGAACTGTCCATGCTAAAATGTCAATAGTGCCAAAGTTGAGAAACCTTGAGTTAAGGTGACTAGGAGGGGGCTGGAAATATGAAGCGAGGATGCTAAGAATAATTGGGCTTTAACATATAAGGAATGATTGTGAAGAGGCAACAGAAGTAAGGAGTGATCTTTGGAAAGAGTGTCACAAAATGACAACAAGAAGAGGCAGGCAGGGAGCATGGAAGGAGCACTCAGAAAAATAGAGGGATGCCAGCCTGTGAACCAAAGGGTTGCTGGTTCAATTCCCAGTCAGGGCGCGTGCCTGGGTTGCGGGCCAGGTCCGCAGTAGGGAGCATGCGAGAGGCAACTGCACTTTGATGTTTCTCTCCCTGTCTTTCTCCCTTCCTTCCCCTCTCTATAAAAATAAATAAATTTAAATAAAAGAAAAATAGAGGGAAACCAGGACCTATTCTAATGAGGGAAGCCCACAGGCTCCAGGAGGGGGGGGGTGACATCACCAAATGTCAAACATTGGTGGGGGTGAGGAGGGAGTCACCTAAGAACAATCTGAGGGTTGTTGCCAGGGACCTATACTGCTAACTGCAGGCTCCGCGGGGGAGAAGCAACACCACCTCCTGGGTAGCACGAGAACTAACCCTGAGCTGAGGGGGTGAAAGCTTGATCCTCCCCAGTGTGTGTGCACATTGGGAGGGGGAAAGGCATGGTGGTGTATGTGTGACCGGGAAACTTAAGGACTCATAGCAGGGAGCAAGGAGGTATTTGCCTTGGCGGGGCACTGGATCGGGAGTCCCCTGCACATTACTGCAGTCTGAGAAGGCCACTGATCTCTCTGAGCCATGGTTCCCTCACCTAGCAGATTAAAGGGCTGGTTTTTTACAGTTATTTTCCTCTCCAAAAGAGTCCTCAAGTCTACATTTCAGCAGAAAGGGTGTTAGACAAAAATGTGGGTTATGTGGCCACACTGATTTGCATGGGGCTCCAGGCGAGAGTCATTGTGTAATCGTTTGCAGTTACTGAAGCTTGATGTTGACATTTAGGATTTCCCTGCAGTGTGGGGAAGTAAGGGTGAAAGTGCAAATCTGTCCACACTGGCGTGAGACTACACTTGCATAAATATATCAAAATCTCAAATGGAAATACCCTCTCTTGCAGCTATACCGACGTGAAAATTTATTCTAATAGGCAGACAAGTGTAAGAGATGTTAATATCAGGACAAATATGAAAATAACTTAAATGTTGGAAGGGGTAAGTTAAAGAAAAAGTTATCCAAACAATGAAATACTATGCAAGTACAGCATAGGAAATATAGTCAATAATATTCTAATAAACTATATATGATGACAGATGGGTATGAGATTTATTGGGATCATCACTTAGTAAGTTATATGATGTCTAATCACTGGACTAACATAATATTGTATGTCAACTGATGTCGAAAATGTCAAAAAGAGATATATTCACTTGCCTAGAAAAAGTTCATATTGTATATTAAAAAACAGGCTGCAAAACATCAAGTATGTATGGTTGCATGTCCATGAAGCTACCCATCTGTGAACCTACACATCTAGATGTGGATCCAGGCAGAGAGAGGATTGGCAGGTGACTGTCTCTAATGCAGATTTCAGGGCACTTCCTCAATTTTTCTATTTTCTATAAGAAGCATGTATTATATTTGTATGCCAGAAAAGCTTAACAATATTAAAATGTTACCAACAAAATCAAATGTTCAGGCCACCTTAAAATGTGTGATTCCCTTTCTTTCAAGGGAGATTTAAGCTCCTTTAGTGCAGGACAGAGGGAGCAGGGACCAGCTGCAGCCCCAGCATCTGGTTTCTATACCTCCCTACGAAGGTGGGATAAGCTGAGGCTTCTGCACACTGAGCTCTCCCACGTGACAGAGATGGCGGGTCAAGGGGACATAGAGGAGCTGGAGGGAGACAGACGTGGGGAAAGGTGGGAGAGAGCCAGCTCCCTCTTTCCTTTGCCTCTCAGGTCAGGGGAGAGTGGTGTCAGCTCCTCACTGTCCCTCCTTAACTGCTGTCCTGGCTTGGGGTGAATGGTGACACTGGGCCAGGGCAAATGCACTTGTCTATGAAAGAGGCTGTTTTTAAAGCTCCTTCCACTCTCTGCTGGCAGTGACATGAACAAAAAATACTAAGTGGGTGGGAAGGTATTGGGAAGGAAAATTGTTTCTCTTAAGTTTCTTCTCAAAATAAAACAGGATAAGAAATACTCTAGTAAACATGATAGAGAACATGAACTGAACTTTGGAGTCAGCGCTCTGACCACCCACAGCAGAATCACCTGGGGACTTACTAAAAACTGCACTCTGCTTGCCATGCAAGGCGGCCGGCAGAAAACGGTCAGATGAGAGCCCCCCTTCTCCCACAGAGCCCAGAACTCGGGAGTTGAGTTCCCGAGAGACCCTGAGAGACCCCGGGAGCCAGCTCAGGGTTCCCTCCCAACTCAGGCTCAATGGAACAGCGTTGGAATGCACGGCTAACGCCAAAATTGGACTGGATCCCTGTGGTGAAAAACTCTTAAGTGCTGCCCGCAGCTGACAGGTTGAGTCTGGGCTCCTTCATAGACACTGAAGGCTGTCACTGGCTGCCATCAGCTGCCATCGCTGACCTCTCCATTGGTCAGTACCTGTGCTGCAGCCTCTCATACTCTACTCTCTCCTCCAACCAACTTTGTTTTCTTCCAATGTGCCCTTTGGTCACATTGAGTCCTCTGCACACCCCTGAGGCCCCAGCAAGAGCAAACACCTCTTCACAGGTCAGGCCTGAGCCCTGGAATTGTACTCCCCGGAGACGCTGTGCCTGTGCCCTGGGATCAAAACCCGGAGCTGCTGGTGCGGAGGCCACTGTCACACCTAAAATCTTCTACACACTTATTTTGCACAGAAGGGCAAGAACTGTATCTGGCCCCTGTCTGTAGCACAAAAGCTGGCACAGCACCAGCACGGAGCAGGCACTCACTGAAGGAACTAGAAGCTCAACCCTTGCACTTCTGAACAACCACCAGACCACCTACTGGCCGCAGCACTGGCCTCACCATGCAGAGGGCTAAGGGGCAACTCTCCCAGCCAGGGGTTGGGACCGTCTCCCTTCCTCTACTTGGTTGAACTAGTCACACCAATAGACCTTTCTGGAACCAACTGTGAGCTCAGGAAGAATAAAAAGGGGTTTCCAGGATGGGAGAAGGAGTCCAGAAAATTCCCCAATTCATTAGGCTCTTGGCCAAATCTCCTGATGGGCATATTTTTTCAGTCCTCAACCTCCCCCCAAATAATCCCTGACTAAATTATGTCTTTGTAAATGGGGAGGGCAGTCAAAATGCCAAAGAGCATGCACTACACTCCTACAAAATAGGCTGGTCTTATGTGGCACAGGGAAAGATTTTTTAAAAGTCATCACAGGCTATGTTGAAAATCACCACAGGATAAAAAGTTGGTTGGTACTTAAGGAGCAAAATGCTTAAATTCACAGCCTATTCAACTATAAAGCACCTTGGAGATCACTCTAGAATGTTGGTTCTTAACTTCCAGTCAAGATGGCAGCATAGGTAAATGCGGTACTCGAATCCTCCCACAACCACATCAAAATTACTACATCATTCAACCATCATTCAAAACCACCTGATATCTACCTGCACGGAAGTCCTACAATTAGGGACTTAAAGAAGAAGCCACATGGAGACTGGTAGGAGGGATAGAGATGCGGAATGGGCTGGTCCAACACCCACATGTAGCAGATAAAAATCAGGAGGGATATTTTGGCTGCAGAATTCCCCCTTGAGGACTGAGGGGTCCCAGCCACACACCATACCCCCAGCCATGGCTCTAGTGCCAGGAAGAGAAGTCCTCATAATTTCTGGCTGTACAAACCAGAAGGTTTTGTGGCTGAGAGACAGAGGGTTTCTGGAGTCTCAGGTATTCTTCTGAAAGGGCCCACACACAGACTTACTCAGACTCACTCCCTCTGAGCTCCAGAACTGGGGCAGCAGCTTGAAAGGAACCAGGGATATATGGAGGTAACTGAACAGTCTGGCAACAGGGCGAGAGCCGGGAGGGCAGCTTTCTGCCAGACAAAAGCACTGGCAGAGGCCATTGTTCCTTTTCTGAGCCCCCTCCCC